ATGTATAATATACTATATAATATACACATAAATATATATTAACTGAAATAATTGAACTGCTGATTTCTGCTGGTCTATTGAAATAAACAGTTAAGCCCAAATTTTTTCTCTGTCCTTTCTAATTTTTTTTATGACTTTTGGGGCCAAACTTGCATGCTTGTGTCTGATAATCTAAACAACTAATTTAAAAACAATATGCAATATTCAGCTCTGTGCTTCGTGAGGCTAATCAAGCAATTAATCCCAAGTTGCTTCAGTTAGTCGAAGACAGAGGTTCAGGTCATTCCAGGGGTAGAGGAGGCATGAAGGATGATTGCCGGGACAGATACTCTGCAGGCAAAAGGGGTGGAATTAATACCTCTAGAGACAGGGAAACTATGACAGATGTTACTCTAGTCTGCTTAAGAGAGATTTTGGAGCAAAAACTCAGAGTGGTGTTTACAGTGCTGCAAATTACAACAATGGAAACTTTGGAAGTAATTTTGTGTCTGCTGGTATATAGACCAGTTTTAGGACTGGTAATCCAACAGGGACTTACTAGAATGGTTATGATAGCACTCAGAAGTATGGAAGTAATGTTGCAAATATGCACAATGGTATGAATCAACAGGCACATGCATATCCTGCTACCGCAGCTGCACCTATGATTGGCTATCCAATGCCAATAGAATATTCTCAATAAGACTTTAGATGTATATGTAAATGTCTGTTTTTCATAATTGCTCTTTAAATTGTTTGTTATCAGACAAGATAGTTATTTAAGAAACATGGGAAATGCAGAAATGACTGTAGTGCAGCAGTAATTATGGTGCACTTTTTCGCTATTTTTTTTTTCTGGAGAATATTCAGAAGACTCCCCAGTCCAGGAGCCAACTGGAAAGATTCTCACCCCGACCAAGCATACACACCGATATCTGTGAACTAAGCCACTGCACTGCAGATGGCAACCTGCAACAGTGGCCCCATGTTGGGAGTGCCTGCCACTGCGGCACTCTGAATATGGGCTGCCCGCCATGACATGCCAGCCACTGCCAAGATGTCCCTCGGGTAGGCGGACTCCCAAGAAGAAGGGGGCGGCGAATGAAAGCAAGAGACAGGAAAAGGAACATTGTGGGACCGTCCCGCCCCAAGGCTGCACACGGTGAGACCCCTGGACCCATGTGCAAACATGAGAAGCATAGAACTCTCCATCCCACTTTCAAAACATCCAATTTCCAAATGTTCTTCCATCACACCATGCAGGGACCCAAAGCTCAACACATCAACACCCGATGAAAAACACCCGTTCCCCACCATGCCCAAGATGTTCGAAATGCAGCGAGACAGCGAGGCCAAGCCCGACAGCCCAAATCGCCTGACAACGAGCTTGTCTTCCGGATGGCCAACAACCCAAGTCTGCAGACCAAAATCAGAGAAAAAGGAGGGCCACAAGGAAAGCCAATACCCTGGCCCCAGCCTTCCAAGGTCAACCAAGACTCAGGACATATGAGAACCCGCACTGCAATGTCGTGCACCTCGGCAGTGTCCCAAACCCTCCGATCAAGAAGACCATGGGGCCAAAGAGGAAAGCGATCGATGACGCAGAGTGTGTCCAAGGAGAGCCACAACTTTTTTGCTATTTAAGTTGGATATTTCTCTACATTCCTGAAACAATTTTTAGGGTTTTTTTCTACTAGACAATGCAGGCAGTGTTCTCACAAAAATAACTGTACAGTGATTTGAAATACTATAAATGAAAGCAATGCATGGCCTTCCAATAAAAGATATTTGAAGACTGAAAAAAAACCCAATATGCAATATAACCACCATTGTTGAATTCCTATTATTTTATTTAGTGAAATTCTGGGTCATTTCTAATTGTTTTTTAAAACTATTTTTTATTCTTTTTAAAAATAATTTTGATAGAAGCAGAAAAAACCTCTGAAAAAAACTCAAATCAAAAATCCATTCTTTTTTCTTAATTTTATTGAGAAATAAATAGCAATGGGACAGCTTCAAAACCAATTACTAGGACAGTTTCAATAATTAATACACTGCATATTGTCTTCTTAGTGGTTATTCATAGTACAAGATGCAGATATGATATCCTGTCCAAACACTATTAGTATAAATCTTTCTTCTCATTGACTTAAGAGAAAGTAACTATATATCTATCCTAATTATTTTGTATATACAGATATAAAATGATCTTTCATTTGTATCTCCTTTTTTGTTTATTTTTTTCAGAGATGGTATTCTGTTGCCA